TAATAATAATATGTAGCCCCACCCCTTCAGAACTTCCATAAAAGTTTCCACGAAAAAAATTCCCAATTTTCCCATCAGCCCCCCCCAAAAAACATGGTTGAAGATCCGCCCTTGAGCAAATTGCCAGCGTGGAAATGAGTTCAGCTCTTGCGTAGGCTATTTTCAACACAAAATTATGATCTGGCATCAGAATTCGGCCAGCCTGTTTGTTTTCGCGCCTAGTATGATTCAGCCTTCAAGTCAGGCCCGCTAACAAACGGTGAAGAGTACGATAAACGCGACAGATCTCAACTCGAAAACCGCATCTCAGTCGTTTGTTGGCCATGCTGGGAATCTACATAACGGACCAAGATCGTACCATGAAAGACATGATAATGTACCATCAACCTGTTAATTATCAGCCCATTCAGATCACATGCTACTTCCCCGCTGTTAACTTACCCACATTCAAGCTCTATTTATCTTTTGAAACATTCAATTATACAAATCTCACTACATTCAACACACGCATTACTGTAAGATATATTTAGATATACCTGTATATGGAAAGACAGCCATAAACAACAAAATGCAAAAGACTCAACTTCCTGAAAGGCTAAAGAAACTCATGTAAATACATGTATATACATAATCATGCAACAAACTGCCAGGAGCTAGAACTGTCACAGTATAGGGCGAGGAGATAAATAGGTCTCTGTTTGATACGCCATCTGACGTAAAAGACAGCACACTGAAGTCATTAACCATCAACCTTTCCAGGTTTCAAAGAATATAGCAACACCTTCCAGCGAACCCGCGTGCATTTTTTGACATAAAAAAATGCTCCCTAATCCCCTCTGTAATATATTACCTAAAACTACTTAAATTCCACAACTGATTGTACGCCGTCAGGAAGCGAAATCGTCGCTTTGTCTTTCTGTTACTGCTTCAATTGTATTCTACTCTGCAGTACTTTAAAGTGAGCCACATAAATATCATTTCATTATGATGATGCAGATGTGAACGTTTTATTAAAATTCCACAGCTTGCGGGGTAGCCCCCCCCGGTTACTACTGGGGCGGGTAAGAGGGATTCCAGGTTGGTGGTTGCGCCGGCAGGTTGTAGGTTGGGTACTGCGGGGCGTACATCAGCTTCCCAAAGGTGTAGTCATAGCCACTCTTGCTGGGTATCTCCTGGAGTCCGTCTACGGCTACATGGTAACTCGGGGGCGGCGGAGCTACAACAGTGGAGAACAGTTGCCGTTAGTATAGGCCTACAACAGTTTGCCCAACTTCTCGTGTGTTACATGTGGCGAGTTTTAAGAAAGGTGTTACGATATGGGATGCAGAAGGGTCGCTGCGTTAACTTGCACTCCACAGACTAATATATGAAGCAAGATACGAGACGGAGAGAACCCCCTACTTTGTATTGGTTAATGTTTCACTGGCATCCGAGGAATTCTTTTCAGACATCTAGGGCGGATGTGTTTTTGTAATAGTCTAGAGCGCGTATAGTTTGCGATTTGACATGTAGGGTCAAACCCCTCTGTCCGATTTCTTGCTGGATATATAGACTAAAAGCTGCATGCATTTTCGGGTCCAGTGGGAGACGCACCTGTTCGTGACTACACAACAGGCACACCTACGCGACCACGTATAGCAGGTCGCACACTGCACTGAATTTGAACGCGTAAGTTCATATTAGGCCTATAGAAGCACAGGCTCCAGCAAACATGTATATTCGGTCCAGTATGAACATTCTGGGAGTTCAACATGCCCGAATAGTTCAGTAGCCTATATGCCCTTAACACAACCTCGTTGCGTCACTGATACGAGATCGACAAGCTTTCGTACGTATAGAAATAATTCCAGCAGTTGATGAAGTCCGAAACTTAGATCTCCTATCCCAATGGGGAGTAGCACGAACTCGGTCACAACAGACAAGTGCTTATACATTGTATTAATTAACTCAAGCCTACTGTTATCGCTGTAGGACGGCTGATCAATCACCACCGACGACGGATCTCCATACAGAGGCTGGAATAGGGGAACAGTTCCTATGGTAACAGGTAACTTCACTTCAGCATCCAGTGGCGTGTTGCTGATATCACCTTCAAACTGATCAAGGAGCATTCGAATAATGTGTAAGTGAATATGAATCGCAATGCATTTATAAAGAAAAATTGAAGGGCGTTGAACGTTCAAATTCGTGATGGACCGCAGGGCGTAGGCCTGTAGATCAATGTGTCAACAATCAGGCGAGAATAAGGGCTGGACATCGTTTGACAATGTGAATATTAAAACATTGCAGTGTTCCTTAAATCATCATTACGTTTTGATTGAAGGGCCTCTGAGGTGCACCATTTACATCTGTTTTCATTCATGAAAATTCACACCTAAAGATATAGGTGTGTCGACTGGAGGACGCCAAAATTGGTATTTTCTGCGTGTTGAGTTCAAAAATGTGGGGATGACCCTTTGATGCGTTTCCCACTTATAAAAAAACCACCAGACTTGGCCAGCGTACCTGAACAAAATACTCAATCTGAATGATTCCGCACCCTTGCGCACCAGTGGGAGGAATTGACGGAACCAAAAGAGGTTTCCAGTCCATCCGAGCCACGTCGCCTTCCCCGCATCCGGGACCTTTATCTTTGACCACCGTGAACGTTCGCCTGGTTTTGTGACCACCGGAAGAAAAGTAAGTGACATGCTGAAACAATCAAAGAAAAAAGCTCCACGGTTACTTGGACTGTGCTTTAAAGCTGTCACACGTTTGACGATTTAGCCTGCGTATGCCGACGTATGAAAAATTTGGTGAGTACGCTGGCGAACGTCGAATAAGTTACGGGTACGTTTTGCGCGAGTTAAAAGCACGCTGGTAGGCTATACGTCGTAGTACAGCGACGTCGCCGGAAAATTTTTTGAGTATGCATAAAATTTTAAATGTATGCCAACGTACGGCTCATACGTCCCGCATACGCGGGCCATAAGTTGTAGGTAAGCTACGGGATCGTTGACACACGTCCACACACACACTTGTGTCTCACAAGTCGAAATAGGTTAAGAAAATCTAGCGTACCCAAAACTAACCTATGGGTAACGTGCTTTGAACCTACACGTGCAACTCACATCGAACTTATCTCCAACGCATATTGACGTACAGACGTATTTTGACGTGTTCCGGACGACTACAGAACGTGTTTCTAACTTACAGCTACCGTATATAAGGCTGTGTCCGAAACGGGCTTCCAGAGGTACGGCTAGGTCTATTGTCTATGCGTCTACACGCATTTCCAATGGAGCGAAGACCTAGACCTAGCTCCAGACAACAGATTCGGATGCAGCCTAGGTTATCGTATACCTTATTTCTAAGTTCTTGAAACGTTCTATGTAAGTTACTAATAAGTTATGTATACGTCTAATTCGTGATGAATACGCTTTGTACATGGATATGCCCAAAATTGAAAAAAAAAATTTCTATAGTTCAGCGTATGCGAGCGTATTCACCAATTTTCTCATACGCCGGCATACAATGGTTAAATCGTCAAGTTGTGACAGGGCCATAACTTCTCTCTTCAAAATGGATATCAACAGTCATGTACATTTCGTTACAGAGATGCTAAAGGCAGTTAATAATAATTGTCTCAAAAGGGGGCATCACACTAGACAAAAGCTAGGAATGAAAAAAGAAAAACCTGAAACATTCACGTTGTGAATTTTCCTGATCATAAGCACAGGGAAGGAGTAATATCGTTTTGGCCAGTATAGCTTCAGTTACATTCTCATGTGAATACACACAGATTTGCGCATGTTCCTTTGTTTTGCAGTGCCTGACATGACATTACAACATAGTGCTGAGTGCCACAAAAACGCATGGAGTGTGCAAATGAATAGCAAAATACATCAAAATGAGTTTCATCTACAGTAATATACATGAAAAGATAACAGTCTGCGGAACTTTCACAGGAATTCCACTCAATCAAGATTCATCGACAAAAATCTTACTTAAAATGCAACCGAATGTTCTTAAAATATAAATTACTAACATGACGATAAGTTCGAAGCTTAAAACGAAGTAAATGTTATAGCACAATACAGAAGTGAAATCTTGCACAATTATAACAACCTGAATCAATTTTATCGTAAGATCAATAATTTCCCTGCTGCTGTTGTTATCCACCGTGCCGGACACGAAGATACTCTCCCCCGGTACATAAGCGCCTTTGTCGGTGGCGGCTTTGGTCACGATCGGACCCTGGGCGCAGCACAGGCAGCATACAGTCTTTGAGGATTCTTGACGAGAAGGGGTCTAAATACAAACGAAATATGCTGGCCTTGATAAATAAATTTTAATCAAATTAAAAAAACAATGAACAACATTGGTTTCAACGGCGTACGTTACTTAAAAACGAATTATTCTAAACACACTGTTATGCAGATATACCAGTCTCTTCTTTCGAGTTGTATGGTCATGTTTGACATACAGAGAGTGGTTCCATTATGTCACCATGGATGGAATTCATTTCAATCTCGTTGAAACCACATACTGTACTAAACTGGAAAAAACCACCACCAGCACCCAGGTCTCTTCAATCTTTACCTCGCAGCACATTATCTGCAGATTTACAACATCTCTCCCACACTTACACACAACAATCCCCAAATCAACCGAAAGGACCTACTCTGGCTTGTGGCATGGTGTTCAGGTCAATGGGGACACCGGTCACTGTAAACAGCCTCTCCGTCTGGTGGTTAAATTTCCACGGCCTGTCGATCTTGCAGGACACCTTGTAGCGTATCCAGCCGACGGACGACTCGAATGGGAACGGCAGGGGAATATTTGGAATCCCGAAAGAGAACGGGAAACGGTGTTCACCGGTCTCCAGACATAATTTCGATGCACCGGGATCATTTTTCCCTGCAGACCGAAAATTCCCACCTTTTTTGTTATCGATAAACCACCACTTAAACTTTCTGCTTATTATTTCTGCTTATTAAGTTTTTAGGAAAACAGGAAGCTGCAAACATAAGTGAACACTAAATTGCCTCCGGCGACGTCGTGGATCGTCATTCTTAAGATGTAGTTTAACCACCGATATGCCAATGCCAGGCAAGTCTTTATTATAGTCACCCTAAAGTGTTAAGTGAATACACTCTGATGCATTTTGTTATTAAAAAGTGTAATGTGGCCAGACGATGCACAAGAAACAGCATTTGAATACACAGGTCACGTGCTCGATCGAACCAGAGCCAACAATGACATCATAATTATAAGAATTTAACAATTGCAATGCAAGCAGCCACGATTATGACTTCAAAAATTCCAATCATTATATGACAAAAATACACGTAACTAAAAATGGTTTCAACTTTTACAAGTTGCATCTGGGCTTTTTTAAGTAAGATTCAACATTTACCACCTAAAAATTATAATAATCAGTACATGGAGGCCTATCTCATTCTAAAGGAAGATTACATTGTCATTACATACAGAGATTCCTCCGTAAACATAACATTGCGTTTTCTAAAATGAAAAAAACTCCAAGGATGACCGAACTGGACGAAATTATCTTACCTTTCCCCCAACAAAGGAGCTTTTCTTTGAAGTACACTTCCCTCCCCGAATAATGTCGTCGGTGGTCGCCACTTCCCTCTGACCAATGGGTGTGAGCTTCACCCTTAAACTTAATTTCAATACCTACAGAATGTAAAGAAAGAACGTTAATGCTGACTGCGTCTGTCCTTTTTGTGCTTTGATTCCCGTGAATTAATTTCTTTACACTGAACGAATGTTGTTTATTACTGATGGTAAATAGTGTACTGACTTTTACATTTACTGTTATGCAAAATAATAAACGATTTCTGACGCAGGAAGAGCAGACCATTACATCGTGCCATTATTCATCCTACCGGAATGTGACTGTGACAGGCTATGTGAACCGTGATAAACTTCCCGGCGCCGTTCATAATAAAGCTCACTTCAACACGAAGAACTTTTACCGTGAGGTTTTTTATTTTAAGGCGCAGTCCATCATTTGCAGTTTTGCAAAAAATGGCTGACAAAATTTTTGTTCATAAGCATTCTTGGTCAAGATGGTATAAAATGATTCTTTCTGCCAAGCTGTCATTTTGGGGGGAAAACGATAAAGAAGGCCAAAGACGATTTTTTTTTTAATTGCAAAAAGGCGCCCATGCAAGCGTTAACACGACACGTGACGCACAGTACATGTCCGGACTTCGTCGTTCAGTGAATGGCATCGCGTAGGCCCTATACACATTAAAACGTGTCACGGACGCTGATCTTTTAGCAGCGCACTTCAAAACTCAAAATCCTAGAATATTGTGAGGCCTACTCTCGGATTTAGTATTCACTGAGCTGCTGAAACGTCATTAGTTTTATTCTCAGGTATCCTGTTTTAAATATTTCGAGTAATTCCGCTGCATGCCTCAAAGGAAAAGTACACAAATGACAAATGATGGACTGTACGTTTAAGACGACAAACTGAATTCGTAGTCAGGCCTTCAGCCTGTAATATATGAACTGATGGAAATTAAAGGGGGCCAGAAGATATTCAGGAAGCCTATCTAATCCTGATGTGGGGGAGTGGCTAACTGACAGCGTTATAGCAACAAAAAGGCGTGTAAGCTCCCCGAGTTCACTGAGAAATTACTGCAGTCACATACGCACCTCTGACATCTTTCTTGGGTTCTCCGAGCACAATCCTGACGAAGCCCCTGACGACCTCGCCCGACGAATAAATGCCGGTGTTGTTCCCGTCGAATACCACGTCGAACACCTGCAACTTGGCCATGATGTCTTCCCCGATACGGCTAAAAGGGTACACCCACGGCTGCTTTCAGCTGTGTCTAAAAATGAAATCGTTCAAGTAATCTGACCGATATTTTGACAGTGTAAGGGGCCGATTCTAAGGATAATGTATCGAGGGTGACAGAACAATGTCACGACACAAAATTGACATGGCAGATGTTCACATGCCATATTGTTAAAAATTATTTATTTAATTCCATTTGATTTGTAATCATTTTAATATTCACACTGTAGAAAAATTTACATGAATAAATTCAGAAGTTTAAAGGGAAATATGAACTGAATTTATATTTCGTTTCCCCAATACAGGTATTTGATAAGTTAATGCTGTTGCCGTGGTGGAAAGTCCACTAACCACACATAAAAAACGAAATTCAATCAACAACTACATAAGATATTATAATCTGACAGTACTCATTTATGGTTTTGTGTTAACCAATCACAGTGTCACGCCATCTCATACAGTCTATTTTATTTCACAGATCACGAATACGGTTACCTTTAGATTATGTAGGAACCTGAAAGTAATCAATATCCACTGAAATATGATTCAGTATGTGGTAAAACCCTGGAGTCTGGCCAGCAAAATTTCACATGACTGCGTATGGACAGTAATGTAATGACAGGCCATCTGTTAAGGAGGTCCGCTTAAATTATTAGTTTAAGGACGCCACGGCAAAGGAAGACGGGCAGGAAGAGTCCAACTTAATGTAACTGTCTCAATTATACAGAGTTTTATTTACATGTCAACTTTGGGGGTTCAAATATCAAGGTTTGATCACAGTTAATTACAATTCAAATGCTTTATTCCTAAAATTCCCCCAAATCCCTAAAATTACCCCGAATGATGCCAGGCCGGTGTGCGACCCTGGACTTGGCCTTCAAGACAGCACTCTGTGGTACGTGCCCACACTGGAAAGGATTATAATTATCACTCCCACGCCCACCGCACTTCCTTCGTGGGAATTTGCTACACATTTCTAACGGGCTGGGCGGCGTGCCAAATAAACTATGGTGCCCCCTAAAACACGCTTCCCTACATCTTCCCTGCTTTAAGAACCCTAGCCCTCTGGCCCATGAGTGAAGAGCGTGTCATTGAATTCAGCCCATTATTCATTAACCATTTTTTCCAACCATAATTGCAGAATATCCAGCAATCAAACAACTTCAAGTAACATTACAGAAACATGTTAAAGCTCAAAATTGAGTTCGGTACAAATTTCAAAATATCAAGTTAACAAAGTTAACTAATACAATCATCAACGTCAGCTCCTCTCCAACTGAGGGGTCCAACGTCTGCTCCTCTCCCGGATCCCACTAACAGGAGCGGACGTCGGACCCCACAGTTCTGGGGGTAGACGAACACACACACGCAAGTAAGTATACACAGGACCCTTCGCTCATGTACACATTCATGTCATGATCGGCCTGGTAGATTACGGTTCTTCCGAGCATCCTTTGTGTAGACCTCGTTGTCGCTCCACGCATGGCTTCATGATCCACGATTACAAAGAAAGTGTGTAGAAAAAATATCAATATTTATATACATTTACCTTCTATGTTTCGCCCATTTATCATTACGGCCGCTCCAGATCGAGCCTATGCATCATGGCGGTTGTCAGTGGTGCAGGGTAATACACATACAGCCGACAGTAAATGTACATGTACGTAGGGTGCACTATCATAAGGCTAGCTCTGTACACTACATATACACAGACAACAATAGCATGCGTGCCCAGCGTCTGCACACAGAGCATTATAAATTCCTTAGCTCTGTGAGATACCCGCAGGGCAGTGGGTGTCAAAAGTGCTCAACCAGCTGTGACGAGAAAATTCCCATAATTAAAAGGTCAGCCTTGCCAGCCTGTGCTGAGCTTTAGGTTCGGTTGCATCTCAGCCTTCAAAATGCATCCTTTAGAGGTTTAGGTTGCAAATGAATCACAATTACCCTTATGGTCTGTTCACTTTTGAACTTGTGAAACGTCTCTTGATTTAAATGGCGTTATTTCCATAAGCGTGTAACAGGAAGGGATTGCTTAGTAGAGTAAAAAAAAAAATCTCATTTCCTCTCCCCACGTCCGGACAGTTTTGAACTTAGCTATAATGGCAACTGAAGAATTGCTGCTGACACGGATTTTCCTTGCCTGTATTACGATGATTGTTTAGCATGCAGGCATTGAACGTTGTCTAATGGGCCCCCTAAGCGTTCAATGACTAATCGACGTAATGTTGCGTAACTATAAGGCATGGGTGAATTTGCATAGGAAGGCACGTGTGAGTCGGTTGGAAGGAGTTGAAACAGGCATTCTAGCTCATATGCAGCGAGGTATGAGACGGAGAGAACCCCCCCTGCTTTGTGTTGGTCATTGTCTCGCAGGAATCTGGGGAATTCCTTTCAGACATCATGGGGGGGGGAATGTGTTAAGTAACAATAGTCTGGAATGTGTATAGGGATTGGACATGTGGGGGGGTACCCCTCGGTCTCATTTCTTGCTGGGTGTATTCTAGCTTGCGACTCTGCGAAGTCAAGATTGATTACTTACGTTAGAACAGAGTAATTTTGATCAAATTATTCATGTCTTGCTAGTAGCCACAAGGTTCTTCAGAAATTTCTCCGTTTTTTAGTCCAGTGGCCATTTGTTTAACTCCGAAACGAAGCGGGCTTTTAGTTTGGATTAAACTTCGATCATAACAACAGTCAATTATTATTGTTGGAAATGGTTTGTGCTTGTTGTCCTGTGAACACTCAAATGAAATTCAGCTCCATCTGCAGCAGGTAAGCTGTACCCTATGTAAAGGTGTGACGAGATGTGTTTTTCATAGGTGTTTCGGAGGGCGTATTAATAGATTAGACCAGTAGACGCCAAATGTACTCTGTACCTCAGTCCAGGAGGAAGTGCAGGGAGGACCTTGAGAAAGCGTGCAGTCATGGTTTGCATACTCGTGGTCAATGAGATGAAAAGAATGAGATACAAGAAGGGTTTTAACTGATGTTGAAAGGGGGCCCTTGGCAGGACAGCACCAAAGAGCGAGCTAGAATTAATGGAAGTCACTACAGTCCCCGCTGTTAAACATTCAGTTTCCTTTCTCTCATGCTTGCTCCGAGTTATTTTTTTATTTCCATTATTCGAGAATCTATGAAAATTTGCACATCGCAAAGCCATCAGTTCAAGCATGTGTGCGGGGCAAGGAGAGGGCCAGTTGACTGCCTTCGCATTCATGGGAAAGTCCAGTAGACTGCAGGTCTGCAGTTACATGAACAGAGTGTGTTGGTTGGGCTCTGCCCCAACCTGACGCACATTTGTTCGCATGTCAGTTCGTAACCAAGTAAACTTCGGACAAAAAGCTGCACTGAGCGGAAATGCCGTTACTGGGGTGGCGCCAGAAGAAGATTTTTTCTTCTGGTGATAGATATGTCGGTAGTGTGCACAATAGATGTTATGCGTTAATGCGTCCTAAATCACCGGGATGGTAAACCTTTCGTGCATTCGTAACAGTGCTGCAGCCGAACCGAACCAAATATCGTCGAACATGGCACTTTCGAACCGAACCAAACTGGCCGGTTCGGATGTTCGGCTTTAATATGGCATGACATTGATAGCGCACGGAATGCAAGCAAGAAAACGTGATAAAAAAGCAAACACAACAATACACAGATAACGAGTTGTGCTGCACCGACCGCGTACCGGCGCTCGGCACATGTGCGCGTACCATGCGTGTACTATTAATGTACTGTGCATGTGCATGTACATACATGTACAGTAAACTTACGACGGCCCCGCATCACATGATGGTTGTAAAAGGCACGTGGTGGGAATTCATTAGTAATCAACCCAATACATGTAACGTACGGCATTTCCGCTGCACAACAATTCTAAATTCTCACTCCAATTGTGCTTATGTATACATGTATTCAAATTTAGCATTATGTTTGCGAATCTCCGATAGCCACGCCCTTACGTTCCATATTAGGCCCATTAAGTCATAAATGGCCGTGCAAAACGAATTTTAATTGGATGCTGATTACAGCCGGAATCGTGCTCGATCGAAAGTAACTCTGCAAGGAAAACTGAGTTTGCCAGGTGGGGCTGTGCCGGTGCATGCAGCGCGCGACAAGATTTGGTTCGCGCGGTGGCCCAACTTGCCTTTCGTTGATCATGTTTGATCGGAGTCCGTAATGTGAATATGTTGGAAACTGTCACACCTCCAACGTTACCTTTCTGTGGAATTTTAACTCTAAACAAACTTTGGGGAAACCGTTTAGAAAAAAAATTATGTTCACATCGAAGTTGCTCGTGGATGGGGATGGAGAGGAGATTCATTGCTTCTATTAACGTATTTTACACACGGAAGTACGTGTACTATATACGGCACATTCGTTGGTAGCGTGCTCTTTGACGTCCTCAATGTGCATTACGTGCACGCGTCCGAACCAAACCTTGGCGCCTCCTTGCAGCACTGATACGTAACTACATTAAAATTACAAAAACGGCCTCTAAGACGCCATGGAGACGACAGCAACGCACAACGTACCTCTATCGTATGTATCCAAAGTTGTCGCTGTGGCTGGAAAGAAAACATACGCCAATGAAAGCCATTAACGAGTAGCTGCAGGCGCAACGGATAAAATGTTCCGAAATCGTGGATACAGTGTCATTTATTTCAGTATCTGTTCATTGTTGATAATTATAGTTAAAAAACCAAAAAAGAGTGGATTTTTTAATATGTTCTACATCAAGTGTCAAACAATTAAGTCAGATGCCCAGTAAATAAGGCACGATTGAATTCATGTGCATCACATCAAACACCAAGTCATACCATACTTTAAAAGAATCCTTGTTAACCTAATCTGCGACGACACACTTACAATGATATTTTCCCGTATCAATAAAGAGAATACAAATTCGGCACCTAATTAAGGTTGACCAAAAACTTTGGGGGAGGGCACAAATTTCCAGGATTTCTTCATGTAATCTTCATGGGCTTTCTCGGGAGTGAGGCCAAATTCTGGAGGTTTTACTTGCTATGGGGGAAAGAACATATTTTCTTTTCAAAAAGGTTTTGCTTATTTTGGAGGGGCAGTGTCCCGTTTACCTCTTCTCCATCAGCCTATGTGTGACGTGACACACTTTCTCCATTAACGTAAGCAGAAAGTATTGAATCTGGAATATGAATACTTGTTCCTGATTATGACAATACGTATTTCATCAATTATGGCTATATTCCATATCATCAAATGCCACAAGCCTGAATTGTACAATGGCACCTGTATAGGGTAAATAAGTTTGAAATAAACAAACGAGGAGGGATAAAAATATTTCAGAGAAAATAAAATTGCACTTCTTTTCAGAAAGAAAAAAATAATGTCTGGTACTTGGACTGAAAACTATGAAAAATGGGGACATATATTAAAAATATACATCCTAAACTTGGAATTTAGGTACTCTAAATGCCTTTACAAATGCATGCTTATATATAACAACTTACACTCTGTTACTGTAAGATCACATATCTATATATAACAGTTGAATTTTTTTTCAAGATAAAAAGGAAAGTGGTGAAAGAACTGTCCCCTGTCTACAGGACAAAAGCTGCATCCAACTTGTTGTAAAAAAAAATTGAAATTGATTTTAAAATCAATGAGAAGCGAATTGTGTACACATCTGGGCAGAACAGATGACTTCCGGAGTAACCTCCACAGGCAGTTTGATCTCATGAGGAAATCATGTCCGATTTCCATACAGCTTGAACGTCTGGACATCTTGACCTGATCTTGACGAGATGGATACTCAGTATAAGAGCACTTAATTAAAGAAACGCTTAGAAATCAGCAACTGCGTTGATTTCCAGGAGCCCTACCTTTGCACTTTACTTTGAAGTCACGTAATGTGCTGAGTAACATTACAGTGTGTCACTAATATTCTGCTGCATTTGTTGGGTGAAACTGGGCCAGGATTTACTGCGAGGCATTATGGCAAAGGTAAAATCGTTCTGCTTCCTAAATCTATCCAGCACTAAAGCTGGGGTGAGCACTGCCAAGCACTAAAACCTGCTAAGGCAGTGTCCGAATATACTTGGCTGGGACTTCTGCTAACCAACAGCTCTATAGAAAGAAAAATAGTTGATTAGTGAAAATGGGTTACCAGCTGAAACGTCATACATTGTCTATTGTCAGTCACAAGACCAACCACAAAGCCAGTCACAAGACCAGAGACAAGGCCAGTCATAAGACCAGTCACAAGGCTAGTCATAAGACCAGAGAAAAGGCCAGTCATAAGACCAGTTACAAGGTCAATCATAAAATTAGTCACAAGGCCAGTCATAATATCAGTTACAAGACTAGATACAAGGCCAGTCCTGAGATATGCATCACAACCAATTATATTGTTCATTTAAATATAAATTTGAGAGTCTTATGTTGGTCTTATTTTTATTTTGTGGGGTCTTGTGATAGTCTCACCAAGTCCCAACTACAACACTGCTAGGGGCAGCTGCACGCCTGCTACCTAGCTGACAGGAGGGTAGACTGGCCCGTCGCTAGGCGGGTAAGCGGGCTGGCCCTGCTGGGTGGGTATGCGGGGTCCCAGGTTGGTGGTTGCACCGGCAGGTTGTAGGTTGGGTACTGAGGGGCAAACATGAGCTTCCCAAAGGTGTAGTCATAGCCACTCTTGCTGGGTATCTCCTGGGGTCCACCAACGGTTATCTCGTAGCTGGGGGGTGGCGGCAGGGGTGGGGCTGCAAACAAAATATTATTGATGAATACATATTTCAAAGTGCAAGGAAGTAGAGCTAAGTGCTCGGCAAAAACAAACATCTAAACAGAAAAAAAATTAATGTACTGATTAAGTAAAAAATTCCCAGTGTGAATTATGACCTGTGACTGCTGCAGAAATCTCCCTGAAAAAGGTGAATATTTTGAACAGATATAAAATGCAAAATATCCATCCAACTTTCAATGTTGTGGCCCCCTTGGAACAAACTTGTATTTTGTCTTTTGCCTTTAATAAAGAAGGGTATTTGAATATTTTTAGGTAACTCACAATGTAACATAAATTACAGTCTTGTGGTGATAAAAAAAACTGACTTCAGCACTTATGCACATAAGTAACAGCAATGTGAATCAGATCTACGGTAGGAAGGATTTTAAAAGCGCCACCTCCCATGAGGGAAATCAGACTGAAAAAAACCCAAAATGGGTACCGCAGCAATAATGCCTATGATCTCTTAAAAGTGTGCCCAAGAATTTGTTGCAGAGCCAAATTTCAAATGTTTCTCAGGGCAGCATGCCCCTTGACACTTCACCCCGGTGGAAATTTGGTATGCACAGGTATCTTTAACACCCTTCGAATATGAGCCCTACTCCTGTCAAAATCTGGATTTGACTGTGTTAGTATTGACCAAAGAAGTGACTTACCGCTGTCAATGCTGGATGGCTGATTAATCACCACTGCTGAAGGGTCCCCATACATAGGTTGGTGCAAGGGGACCGTTCCTATAGTGACCGGCAGCATCACGTGAGCATCTAGTGGGGTGTTGCTGATATCCCCTTCAAACTGTCGGCCACAAAGAGTGAAACAAGATCAGCGAGGATGCAATCTGGGTCACGTGAATCGATCCCTCTCACATCAAGATGATGTGGGTTTTGTCCTCATTCAGTTTAAAATTCATGACACAAACTAATGAATATGCAAGGCTCTTCAAAGAAGTCTGCATAGCTTCACCTTTATAGCTTTATCTAACTAGATGTGTGCACTTGAATCAGGAATTTCCTATGCCCATAATATATAGGGGATGACTTTGGCGGCAAATGCTGAACACAGGGCCATGTGACCTCTGTACTTGCCCCTACACTTGAGTGATTACCCACTGAACTCACTCAACATCCATATACAACTCCATGGAGGTTGAGTGTGTACGAAGCCCTAGAGCAGCCATGGGCCATGGCTATGTGTCGTAGCAAAAATCGTTTTGTGACACTATGTCAGACTTACAAAAAAGCAACGGTGTGGAAAAAAAAGTCACACACATCTTGAACAAGTGGCCTTACCGAGGGTAAGCGTTTGCATAATCCAACTTTGTTACGGACTGTGGCTTTGGAATCGTCATTTCAACACGATAATACTTTGGGTTCAAAACACTTTGGCACCTGGGGTAAGTACGTTGCAGAATAATACCACAAGCAAGTGGTTGATGGTTGGGTAAACAGTTAGGGGTGTGTTGGTGAAGTGGGCGGTTGATGGGGGGGGGTATGGTTGGCTTTCAACAACATACCTGCACCACATACTCGATCCGGATGATGTTGCAGCCCTGAGGGCCGGTAGGAGGGATCGGGGGAATCAACAGGGGCTTCCAGTCCAACCGAGCCACCTCTCCTCCCCTGCATCCGGGGGCCTTCTCCTTGATGATGGTGTAAGATCGACTGCAGCGATGCCCACCATTTGAGAGGTACAAGACTACCTGAAAAGGGAAAATATGACCCAACATTTCAAAAATTCAGCTAATTGCTGGACATAAGCACAAGATAAAATACTAGACTCCAAGGGTACACATGTACATTTAAACATACACAAATTGTACAATAATGCATCATGTACATGTACCTGAGCATGGTTTACATGTGGATCTTGGGAGCCATCTTGAAAATCATACCCGGAAAATTTGGAAAGTGCCCATCAAAGGATTTTCTAAGATTATTGCTGATATCATGAACTAATATTTGTTAAAATTTTTTGTATAATTTGCGGTCAAAGGTCATTTTGTTCAGTAGTTTTTCTGCCCATCATGCCGTGAATTTTGCAGGTCAACTTACTATCATTCCTATCTGTGAGGGTCGGTTGCAAAATTACGTTGAATTGACATGGAATGACCCAAACGTGATGTTCCCTTTCAACGCACAATGCCTTGGGGCCTTGTTAAAATCTGAAAGGTGCTTTATAAGCAATCAGTGGTATAACGTATCAAAAAAGGGTCAGATGCTGTGACTCTTTTGTAAATTGTTACCAGGAATTCCCTACTGATTCGCGGACGCACCTGGATGAGTTTGACTGTGAGATTAACAATGTCTCGGCTGGAGTTGTTCTCCACTGTTCCCGAGATGTAGATACTCTCTCCTGGCACGTAGGCGCTCTTATCGGTAGAGGCTTTGGTAAGGATGGGCCCCGTGGCGCAGCACAGGCAGCAGACAGTATTGGAGGACTCCCGGTGTACAGGGTACTGCAGAGAGGCCAAAAATGTAAAAACAGTCCAGGACCCCAGAGAAAAGACCCTCCAGGTACAGGAGCGAACCAATGAAATTTTTACAAAAGTGCAGCCTGGCCTGGGAATTGAGCCCAGAACTACAACGGTGAGAGGTAAGTGCCTTCCAAATCAGTCAATAATGTCACTTTTAAAAAGACTGTTCACTGACACAGCCTTCCGCTTTCAATGAGTGGGGTCAATCCTGTCAATTGGATCAGTAATTATGCACACTATCAGCTCACCCTCGCATTGGGCATGGCATTCAGGTCAATGGGGATACCGATCACCGTGAACAGCCTCTCCGTCCGGTGGTCAAACTTCCATGGCCGGTCAATCTTACAGGACACCTTGTAGCGGATCCAGCCAGTGTGGGACTCGAACGGGAATGGTAGCGGCCTGTTTGGGATCTGGAAGGAGAATGGAAAGTGATGCTCGCCGGACTCCAGACACATCCTTGTTGCTGTTGTGTCCTCTTTTCCTAAAAAAAAAGGCACATTATAATAGGCTGAGTAACTGAGTACAGTGAACCACATAAAAGCAAAGTAGGGCCACTTTACTTGACAAAACTATCGCTCAGTTTCAATATGGTGAACATGAGTTTTCTGGTACTTCAGCAGAACACGTTAAGCTCTCAAATCAAATTCCAAAAGTAGTTGACTGATGTACGCTCAAATGTAAATTGTGGAAACACAGCCATGATTTTGTCCACTGTAAACTTGCAAAACCGTTTTCTGAGACGTTGTATTGTGAATCGCTCCAATTGTTAAAGGCCCCATAAAAGGACTTGCAATAGATTACACTACAATGCTGAATGTTATACTGATTCAGATCATACATTTTTGACCTGCTATAAATCTTTTAACCATCTGAATGTCTTGTGTTCACGTCCTACACAAGAAATGGCATTCTCTTCTACCTTCGTCGACAGACAGATGAAAAGTAGATTTTTGAAGATATCACTGAGCACATGATCATACCCTTTCCCAAACAGATTAAATTTTCTTTGAAGTAGACTTCATGTCCGTAGTATGACCTCCTTTTATCGTCACTTCCCTCAGACCAATGGGTGTGGGCGATACCTTTGAAGGAAATTTTTATACCTGTAAAATAAAAGAGGAAATCTCCATTACAATTTAGCCCGGAGGGCAAGTGCATAACATTCACAACACCACAATGAAATGAAAGGAAGGCGGTCAAATTCACAAGGGGCGGGGCATGGCATGATAGAGGGGGAGGGGAAGGTGTAAGTGTCAGTCTGGGATTCATTTTCATCAGCACGTTTTCTGGGCGTCCTGAGATGCACTGCGCATCTGCACACCTCCTGTTCTTTAATGACACATTTGAACTCACTTTGAGCTTGACTTCTAAGGTATGAAGACGCAATAATAGGGCCAGCAAATGCCATTTAAGGGTAAGAAAAGCCAGTTATGAGTTTTTGTGATAATTTGCATCATCCGATCACTTTAGGATCTTTATGTTACTTTAGGATTGAGGGTTATGTTGAATTTATTTGGTCATACGAATTCAAACCGTTTGAGCCTTGTATTATGATTTCACCTTGTTAATGTTATTAAGTTTCCTGGAAAATTATTCCGGTCATATTGTTTTGTTCATTTAGGTCACTTAGAGACACAACCTGATGTAATAACCTATCCAGGGACAAATAATGCTGGTCCAAGGCGTGAACGGTAGGACATTTTCCTAGGAATATTCTGTATAAGGCTATCATATCAGTCCTTCAGATTAGTTTAGATTCCTCTTTGTAGTTGATTGTTAACCTAGGAAGTCTCTATTTTGTCTCAGTGTACATGTACGTTAATTAAGTGATCATTAATAAGAGAACCTCTCTTATTTGTCAAGTGAACTTACTTACGTAGTCCACTTCTTTCGGTGTTTTGTACTCTCGGAAAATGCAAATACATGTATGCAAGTGTCTTTCGTAAAAGTTATGGTTTGTTTCTCTAAACTCTTCTTGGTTTTCACGGTGATTTGGAATTTCAACAACAGAATAAACATCGGTGCTGCAAACATCAGTTGGATCGTCGCGTCCGTTACTTTGTCAAACAATGACCAGCCCCCTTTGTGTACTTCAGTGTGCTATAGAGGGTGTCCCCACTTTCCCAAGGGAGCACTCAGTAGGTTTCAATACTTACTTGGGTGTGAACACAGGTTAATTGGAAGGCAGAGGCATATGTGTATATGTACATGACAAGTAAAATCCCGTCACATCCAATCAAGTCTCCCCTGGGCAATATGCTTTTTTCATTTAACCCTAACAGTAACAGCTTTGCACAAAATTTTGCTTGCAGTACTTTGTACTACAAAAAACTAAGCAGTAGTCTGAGCCTGAAGGACCTAGCACTACAGATTACTACTTCTGGCTAAGTTACTTCCATTGTTACTTGTACAGAGAACAATAAAGCCATACACTCATAGTGCCACAGTACTGTATGGTACATTGTCTTATCTATTGTATTTGATGGCTTCAGAGAAAAATAAGGTTATGTCCTCTTGCAAGCGACAGGGCCGAGTACTACATTTTCACTACTATTAGTATTTTGTAGTATTTAGGTCTGTTAGGGTTAATGATAGAAAAGCAGCATTTCAAGGCTATTCAATTTGCCTTCCTTCCTGCAGCATCCAAAAATCTACCTTCTTACCTCAAAATGCCACAAAACCAAGATATTCCCAAATTATTGGGCCCCCTACACAACCCAAGAAATTTTGGCCTCCCATCCTTGTCTGCTGGTTAATGAAAAGGATTTCAAAAGTTGACGTAGTTGCTAGGAGTGAACCTGTAGTTATATGATGATATTTCCCCCAAATATTGACATTATTTTTGAAATAATTGACAGATGGATGGATGAAGCTTGGGCCGCTTCCTCAGGTAGGCTATTCCATGTACCGACCACGAAATGTGTAAAAATTCTACTTCTTCCCACAGGGCATGTAGGGTCAATATTGCTGCTTATAAAGGTTGTAAAGTTAGTCATACAAACTCCCTTTTGCCTCCTCTAAATTTGGAGGGTTTGGTGGCCGGGGTCGCGTATGGGATGGGAGCACAAGATGGTGGTCCTGAGCCAATAATCTTCAGGAATTATAAACAGAGAGGAAGTTCTGATGAATTATGCGAAATTAAAATTGCCTCCCAAAGAAAGCATACAGTTTTGGGACTTACCTCTGACATTGCCTTTTTCTCCTCGCAGTACAAGCCTGATGAAGCCTTTGACGACGTCTCCTGACCTGAACACATCCACGTTGTCCCCATCAAAGACCACCTCAAATACCTGTAGTTTGCCGGTCATGGCTCAGGTTGATCCTTTGGAAGATTCAGAATGTACTTGAGAAGAGTGTTACTACAGGTGAAAGAAAAATGGTCCGCGTTGTTTAGATAAATTTTGTCAACAACATTCATTTGTGCAATGCTGAAAGTTTAAAATTAGGCTTTGTTGGGCAAAAGTAAAGGAATTTAATGTTTCAAACAGTCCTTGGTTGTTAGAAAAGCAACACAGCAAAGAGTATAAAATCATAGACAAATCCTCCACAAATAACTCAGAAACTGTTAGAGAACTGTGGCAAAATCCCAACCACAGTCCTTCCCAATCTCTCTGTCGTCATTCGTCAGTTCCCAATTGTCACCCAAGATAATGAAAATCATTCTTCAAGTCCTACCTACATCACGTACATTTAATACTGGACAGCTCCTTGTGAATGTAGGTCAAAGTTGTGACGTAACACAATGTGAACCATGAAATAAAAAAGTGCATCATGAGCAGACCAAGACAAGTGAAAAGGGCTAGCCGCTCTTTGAGTATGTGTACATTGGCTTTTGACAGTACAACACAAACATGATTGATCAAACACGTCCAAATGCTAAAAAAGGCAATGTACAGTCTTTGTTACTTGGACAGTGAAGGAATCTTCTTTTTCCTTCTTCCATGCTCAGACTAATGCAAGACTGAACTGACTTGGAGGAGATAGGTTTACAGGCTTTGCCATATCACATGGACATCACTTATTTCCCTTTTGCGGTGCTCTTTTAAGTCATTAGAATGTGAAAACAGAAAATGTCAAATTTAGCAGTGAAAATATTAAATCATTTACTTAAAAAACAATTGTTCAGACTAGTCTCATTGGGTTTGTACACAGGGTGGCAATCAAGTGATGTCCGTGTACAGAACTCTTTCCCCGCATGCCCAGGCTGAGTTTGGACACAATTATTATGACGACCGGAAACCTCCGAAACAGCCTGAAACTGGAAAGCAAATAACTTAGCCATGTTAGCTTGTCAAGCCTGCCTGGCATACCATGTGGAAGGCCTGGTAGGTATGGCGAAATCTAGCAGGCACGTCCACCCTGTTAAGTGTTAATGTCTGTATCATGAACTTGGCTAAGCAGCTAAGCATTTGGATAACGCACTTTATTTACCACGTCATCCTGCATATGCATACACAACCACATAACTCACATAATGTAGGCCCTATACAATCTTCAGTTTACATTTTGCAGCACTACACCGTAGACGTTATGTACATGTACGTATAAACGTAGGCCACACAGTTCTGTCTTAAAAAAACTTGACCGCATGTGTGCCACTGATCTCTATAATAAAACCAGTGATGTGTGCTATTATTATTAATAATTATCATATCATTGAGATCAGTAATGTGTGCGCGAGAGCTGCAGCGCCCTCACTTGTCTAAGGTAGATGTGATAATGTTACGCCCCAACTTTAACATAAGTCCCAACTACAGTTGGGTCCGTCCCAACTAGAGTGCTCAACGGTTGGGCGGGCCCACTGATCTCATAGAGATCACTGATCTCATAGAGATCAGTGGGCGGGCCGCGTATTCATTTTCCCTGGGAAATGGAAGGTAAGGGTGATTACAATAAAATGGGCGTACTTAATCGTTGCGCATGCGTTTTTCATCTAGGAAGGTTAGGGGTACAGTCCACTAGTTCAAGCCCCATTGAAAACAATGTAAATCAGCACAGTTCAGGGCCCAATAATCATGCATAACAACATCCCTGAAATTTCTGAAACACAAAATAAATTATTGTCTGGTCACCAATCTTTCAGTTTCTTTTCATTTTGGGTGGTTTAACCAATTACATTTTCAGTTATTCCCACAAAGCAAAATCACCCCCCGAAAAGTGATTTTTCCGAAGTCTGATTGCACTGAGACATTTTTCAAGTGGCAACCCTCAACTTGAACAGGCCTTCTCGGGCACTTAGGACCATTTTTCAACTGTATTTTCAAGTTAGCCATTCTGCTCTCATATGAAAGCTCAAAGACCCAGGGAGTTGATAGAGGCAACAATTTTCACAATCTCACATTTTCAGGGGCAAACAATCTCCTTTTTCAAAAGATACTGCTGGGGCACTTTTAATGCTAATTGAGCAGGCCAGAAATTCTCACTTGAATGAGTGGTCTGCACCCTTTGGCGCAATTATCATAATGGTGTACACGAACGTTTATAAAGTACATGTATATAAGACACAGCAAAATTGCCTTTCTAACCGACTCGCACGGTAGCGCCTATTAGAATAACCAACAAGCCGAGGGTCCGAGTCTACAGGTAGCAATGTTTTTTCCTTGGTGTGGAATTAGTTGGTTGGAGGATGTTTTTATAATAGGAAAGTACAGCCCGATATTTACCTTAGCACGTAAGTTTATAAGTGTCCACTAACCTGATAAAGTTTGCAGTTAACCCACCCCACCCGTATTTGATAATTACCCCCTTAAACCTTCCTAGGAAAAAAAATTCCCGGGCCGGCCCAACTGCAGCACAGAGGTCTATCGTGCATGTGTCCAGCATGTGCAAAAGTCATATTCATTGTTTACAGTGTCACGCCATAGATGAAGTGCCATATTTTAGATGAATTGTGTCAAGCGTAAGGTGCATAAACTTGATCAACGTTGAGAAAATTTCTATAGAAATTGGTCAACAATAGTTCAGTTGGGCCAGCCCAACTGCAGCACTAGAATTGGGACTGTCTGACCAATAGTTGGGACAGACGCTACAATTGGGGCGTAACAATTACAAAATGGCGTTGCACGGTAGGCGTAGCACTCTACTGTACTGCCCGTTACTGAAATCTAATACTAAATTAGCCCCAAAACGTATTATATTTTATCCTCAAAATGAATGCAAAATACTAACGTCATGAACGTGCGTGACCGCACATTCGCCAGGTCTCTAATTTCGCCACCTATTGTCAATTCTGATTGGTTTTCACAGTAGGCCTAAGTCAAGTGGCAAAATAAGGGACGCACGTTCATGACGTTACTGTGGTCACCCGATACCCTTGAAGTACTTCCAGAACTGTAAGGTTTATAAAAACTTTACAGATAGCTACATGTAGGTACAAACTCGCATGAACACATTTGGGCTGTTTTTGTTGTGCCAATTTACTCTGCCATCACACTCACAGCTGTTTGTGCAACAAAATTTCCCACCGCTAGTACCTGCCTTCTTGGTGACATTATATGTCTGATTAGGAGGTTTATTCACTTTGTATCCTCTTTAGACTGGTGAAATTATTGAATATTTTGCCCATCCAAGCTACAGAAAATCAGCAGCATGTAATCTCAGTCACAGTCAGCTGCATGACAGCTACTTGACCAATTGCAATACAGCTTCTCTTTTCCTTCTTGTTTTCCTGACCCCATCAAAATGAAACCTGAGTGATGATTGGTCATTGAAATGGAAGCAAATTGGGCCAATCACAGTGTGGCTCTCATCTATGGGTGACAGGAAAACAAGAAGGAAAAGATAGGAGCTTTGTTGCAAATTGAGTGCTTTTCCCCGATTTTCTTTTGCTGAGACTGGTTGTCTAGTTACTGACGTGTATAACCATGATAACTATAGGTCGTAATGGATGATCACGCACAGAAGAGGTTAGCTGCTTGCCTATAAGGCTAGCTGCTTCATTACTTTCGGACTAACATGTAATGTATGGTCAGACTCTTCAGAAGTTGTTTTGCAGGTTGCATAGGAGACCAAACAATCTCAATTTTTCTCTGTTTTTTTGGTTTTGGATCAGCTCGGCGGGTCAGCAGCCTCATGCTGAGGATGGGGCGGTTTGGGCCGTTACCCACTCGGCAGTTGACAGCCACTTCACAGCCTGTACGCTCCTTGTACGATCAGAAGCAGCCCATGCCTCAAGGAGCAACGAACACTGCCAGTAACAACCTGAGGTATGCCCATATCAGTGGCCTTTTTCCTCCTGATCTTGGCTTCATCCCTGATTCTGGGTGACCTCATACTCCATCATCAGTTTCCAATGCATAGCTGTTGAAACCAGGAACCACATTCATGCTAAGCAGATCAAGTTACTTTTCAATTTTTACACTATAAAGCAGAAATTAGCACAGCACCACCACAGCTCTTGAAATCTGACCCAGACGTTCCAAAATCCAGGCTTATGTTAGAAAATCTGATATAACATGAGTAGAATTGGGAGCCATACTGAGCTATTAGTTTCAATTGAGAAAACTTAATTCACAAACGTAAAGTTGAAGGCAAGTGAAAAAACAAGTTTAAAAAGAATATTCTTTAAGAGTGAAACACAATGTATTAGACTGAAAACGTTACCTGAGCCCACAGATGAAGATGGGCAGTCCCTAAACTGCTTCTATTAGTAAATGCATTGGTCAGTTGGTGTCAGTGGTTATCTCTAATCTCTAAGCTTGATTGGACCTCTTTTAAAAACTGCATGCCATTTTGATACAGTATATTGAAGTTAACATGTCTCCATCTCGAAGTGTATCATGGCAGAGTGGCAAGAAGCCACTGGTTGATTCTTGAATCTCCATCTGAGAAATTTAGGCAGTGTATATTGCGGCGGTTTCTCCTCCGTAGTCAGTGAACCCTTGGCTCGCCGGGCCACTCAGCCCGGTCGCCGTGATTTGGCCAGGGCCTGGATCCGTTTGGGTGGAAATATACCACCCGTTACACCAGGGACAAGGGACGCTGAACAAAATGGCACGCCCAGCAAAGATACATGTGATACCATCTACTACTAGCTGGTTTATTCACTTCCACTCACTTCCTCAACGCATGAGGTACCCTAACAAACTAATGCTGGACATTTACAAACGGCAAGGAGGGGCATGAGGACCCATCGCGCACCCCCTCGCCCTGCCGAGATGCACTGTCACAAAATTAAGGGTACAGTACCGGTTCATGAATTAGTTACAAACGTCCCGTCAGTACCCAATCCTTATGCACAATCCAAGATGAACTAACAGTTTGGTCACAATCGTCCACACATTAACTAAATCCCGGTGCCAAAGTTGTGTCAGTCGATCCAATCTGAACTCCTCGGCAGCTCGGCTTAGACTGACTAATTTTCCCAATTCTGACATTATTTGATTCCCTCCCCGGGCCCTGTTTTCCACAGTCATGAAAACACCATCTTAGCACAAAAAAGGCAAAACAACGGTCCGCAATGCCCGTTTCAACCTTTCTTCCACTTACTAATATTTATCATACTCCGGAAATTGTCAAACTTGCCCCTCTTTTTCCATCATGGCAGTCTTATTAGTTCAGTTTCCCACTTTCCGCAACATAATTTACTCACTGAAAACATGTTATCAAATCCCCTGACAGTTACACCAATACCCCCTTTGTTCCATACCCCTGACTGGACATACTTGACGGCCCCCAGTTTCCAAACTCCTGGACCTAGCCCAAAACCTAATTAAGCGCATCACTGGTCAACCCAACTGCCATTTCTCTGGAGTTTAAAGGTCACCAGACATTTGCGTTACAATATCATGTGTATTTTACATTAGTGACATAATTGTACATTGTTGTAGTTGGAACACGCACCTGTTTGTATTGCCGCTAGACTTCACTGTACTGTCTCCTCCCCCCCCCCGAACCAGGATGTTTAAAATCCAAATTTGTGGCCCAACTGGACAGATGAATTTTAAGTCACCAGAACTAATAATGAGTCCTTCGATTTGCGCAATTGGAATGTGACATTTTACACCCACGTCATGTCCAGTGTTAATTAGCATGCCAAAATTAACGAGGTATTGAAATATTACAGCGTTTGGTCATTCTTGTGAGGCAAATTTCAATATGAAATTACTGGAAAAAAAGGCGTTTAGACTCAGTAAAGATTTCACTTAGATCATGTTGCCAAGTTTAGTACTGCTCCAAATAAAACTAAGTTGTATTTCTTTCCTTGTATCTTGGGTCAGCTTGGTACCTTACAGACAGAAGAGCTCATCCCCCGTCCCTGCCCCCAAAGATAGTAAAGCTGAGTATGTTGTGGCCAGGATGGATGACCTCATCAACTGGGCAAGAAGGGTATGCGCTTGTTTTTCACTCCTATATTTGGAGATCAAAGCAGAATGACAGAGGTTATCTGATTAATTTTTGTGGAGCACATATTGTCCATTTGTAGTAGTTTCTTCTTTCTTCTCTTTGGTGGCCCATTTATTGTAGGCGGCTGATTGAAATGGTTGAAGCCAGCTAGCTCAGATTCTTGACAAATCTCTCTAGATTTCTGGAAGTTTTAGCAGATTGGAAGAAATTCCTGACTTGAAACTTTGTTCACATTTCATATTTACTCATTTTCCATGTTTTTTTTGTGCTTAGTGCTTCTATTCTATGCTTGTTTGTTTCTGTAACCTTGTCATTTCACCTGTGAGAAAGATTCTGGTTGGACCAAAACACCAGACCTTCACAACTCCTTTGATCTGCATGTTTCGGGACACTATAGCAAGCAAGCCCTTGGTGGCAATATGATATTTTGCATTTCTGAACTTATTCAAATGGACACTGATTGTAATTTTGGGGTTTAAATCTAGAGTTCCTTGTGGCCGATGATGTTTGGGCTCGCCTGCTGTGCGATAGAGATGATGCACATGGCAGCGCCACGCTATGACATGGACCGATTTGGTGTGGTCTTCCGTGCCAGCCCGCGGCAGGCCGACGTGATGATCGTGGCTGGCACGCTGACAAACAAGATGGCTCCTGCTCTTAGGAAGGTATACGATCAGATGCCCGAGCCCAGATGGGTCATTTCCATGGGAAGGTATGATCACGTGTTGTTGGAAATCAAGGCTTTTTTATTTATTCATTAAATCTGAATTTCGCTGTGAAGTTTGATGCATTTTTTTTAAGGTTGCTGTTGATCCTTGTTTGATTCAATCGTTTCGATTCAATTTATTCATATTACATTTGTTTTCCTCAATTAAATTTCCCTGTCTCACATCCAATTACCAGTGCATGATTTATCCAGCAAGCATTATCACTTCTCAGCGGTCATTATCAAATGTTAATACACTGTCACATGAGGTGTTTCGACCAATAGGAATAGAAAAACTGTCCTTGGTATTTATGAATGTGTATTATTGATGAGCGCCTGCAAATTTGAACATCAGCAGAAGTCTGGATTTTGAATGGCTGTACAAATCAACATTTATTTGCAGTTGTGCGAATGGTGGGGGCTATTACCATTATTCTTATGCTGTCGTCCGAGGCTGTGATCGAATTGTTCCAGTGGATATTTATGTACCAGGTACGATTTGTGTTCTATTTATATACTTATAGAGTAGCAAAGTGTGATGTCACTTTGAACCAGAAAGTGTAGTGCAAACAAATGGAGTACGCACATGTGTTGGTTGACGCACAGGTTCTCATGCTAATGCCTTTACACACATAATTGTGCGACGTAATCACTCTGGTACTCTATAGTAAGGAGGGCAACAGTGCTACGATGAGGAGAATGCAGGGGCACAGATTGGCCAGTAATGAAGGTCTGTGGCTAGCGTGTGCATGTGCTGCCGGCTGCACGTGGTGGCTGGCAGTAAAGCCGTGATAACCAGACACATCTGCGTTGGACTGAGTAGCAATGGAAAAGCCAGTTGATGCTGTGTCCGACTGGCTGCGGCTTGAAATAACATAGGTGCTTAACCCCTTCGTGCTGGGATTCTTTTGAGGGTGACTTCTGGGCTGCAGTATGCCCAGCATGCGAAGCTCTGTCCAGCAGCAGGCCCAAATTGAAACTGCAGGTGCATGATGAATAGAATGTATGTATGGTATGCGCTAATCCTCACACAAAGCCGCGGCTGTCTACGGTTCCTGGGACTGAGTAGCAATGCCATTAGCCATTTTTTTGGCTAATGGCTAGCAGCCACTCTGCCATACACGTGTGTGTTACATTCTTAGCCGTAGCCAGTTGATTTGTTGATGGGCTTTTGTTTGGCCCACATGGTGTGTGTACATACATGTACTCTTGAGGGTGCTGTGCAGTCAATGTCCAGTATTAAAGCGAGTTGGAACACTCTTACTTTGAGCTGAAGAGTCAAGTTTATTGGTGTATTTTGCAACTTGTATTAAAGGCAACTGTTGCTTGGTTTTAGTATAAAAAAATTTGCGATTGCATTGCTGTATTTTAATGTGTATACAGCCAGCATTGTAGGCACTGAGGAAGAATCTTACTGGAAGCATGGTCTATAATGTTTTAGAAATGAATGACTGGGCTTGGCCCATGAAGTCTTAAAAAATTCTCTGTTTTAATTTGAATTGAAATCTAGAAAGTCAAAGGTCATGAGCTTAATAACGTTTGATAAACTCCCCCCCGGGGGGGGGAGGGGCAGAAATTAACCACAGGGTCATTTTATGGAGTCTGACTCTGGTTCATTATCAAACCCTTCAGTTCAACATTCACAGAGACAGATTCAATATGAGATATGAGACAGATTAAACACTTTGTACTTGTCATTGATTCCCTTATCTTTTAGGATGCCCACCTACTGCTGAAGCACTCTTGTATGGCGTTCTTCAACTCCAGAAAAAAATCAAGCGAGCCCAAAATCTCACCATGTGGTATCGCAGATAGATCAGCCCTTGGACCAGACCTAACGGACCTAGCAGTGTGGTCAGAAAGACGGCCTGGGCCCAATAGGTTGACTTTGCCAACCACAGAACTGGACACCACTCACACATCACATTTGGCACTGAGTTTGTAAGCACAGAAGCTGTAACGGAAACGCAGCGTGGAAACTCCTTGCTACTGTGAAGAATGTATATTCAATTACATTTATATCGTCAACTCTTTGTAAAAAGCACTCTTGTAACAAAAAAGTGTTATAAGGCTCCCCAAAAAAGTCTCCGATTTCTGGTTTCCGCGCGCATCACCGTAGACCAGTGCGTTGGCAAAATAATTTTTTTTTAAATTTTCATAAAACGTTTCCAAAAGCTGCCAAACTTAATTGATCGGCAGGAATTCTGCAACCACGTAATTTTAATGTGTTTTGGATGGGTGGGGTTGAGTAATATGTACAGTGAAGGAATCCCCCAGGCCTCCATATATTTCAGTCGGGCACTCTTATCAGATGACGTCATTCGTGTATCTTTACACGAAGGCCGTGTCTGAATCAGTTGGCTGCGGCTTGATATTATGGATGATTCTACGGGAACTGACCGTGGATGCTACCAAATACTTGGTGCAATTTCCAGCCGTAGCCAATTGATTCGGACCCTGCCTACGTCTGTGACCAAGACAAATGAAGTGGTCTTACGTCCTGCTTACGTATACAAATTGAAAATGCTTTTAAGCAACCAAACCGTGAGGGGCCAGTCTATTTCAGTGTTGGTGAGGCAGTGGTGGTACATACACATGCATTGCATGCAGTGGCGATGGACATTGCGTTATGACCACCATACATGTAACAACTCATGCACCGTCACTTGCCAAGAACAGGTAGATTAGAGCGAGAGGAGATTTTATTTTCTGAGCTGAATTTTGTCCCCAGTATTTTATATGCAACTTGTTTCTTCTAAGCTAAAACAGGAAACAATGTGCACAGTATGTCATTTACCTTATGAGCATTTTATTTTTTAGTTTGCCTCTGGAGGTGAACTGCTTGTTTCCTCTAAGCTGAAGCAGAGAAGAATGCGCAAAGAATGTCATATACCGCTACCTCATGAAAATTTCAGTTAAGGAAACTGGAGCTGAACATTTATTTTTCACATTTAATTTTTCCATGGTTGTGCTACTGTATTTTAACAAGCTCAATCTTGCCAAGAATAGAAGCCTCTTGTTTGAGTGAGATGACTGAAACCATCACCTCTTGTCATATTTCATGGTCTTTTTATTAATTCAAAGTTGTTAATTCACACTTCTCATAGTAACAAGGCCATGTGCTCTAAAGTATATATGTGCATGTACTTCACTTCCAAGGGGAAAAAAAAAACCCGCGTCACTGCACCACATTTGGACCAAGCCCATGACCAGAAACCAGACTTTTTTTTGGGGGGGGGCCTTTTTTTAAGTTACAGGTCTCCTGAGTGTTTTTGTTTTTCTGTGTGTTTCCAGTCCTTTTACAACAGAGTTCTGATAGTCATAAGGTAATTTGACTAGTCTTGACTTTAAACAGAATATATTTTGTCGGCGGAGTCACGACATTTAGGCCCAAGAATGAGAGAGCTTGACAGATTGGAAATGCCCGTGGAAAGAGAATTCTGGTGTTGATCACCAACTAAATATGTGATATACGGTATGCCCGACTGGTCCTCTGTACACTGCCACTTTTAAAATATTTTACACTTATTCCAAAGACAAAATAATAAAGAACTATGTGAGCGTGGCCATGTGCGTCAATGTTGTTTGATAGTGACATACAGAGAAGTATGTTTTTTAAAACATGCTACTAGTTTTCTATGGCTTAATTTGAAGTTTTTCTCAATTTATGTGTGGTAACAATGACCCTCAAGAGTTTTTGTGGCTAGAAAGTCCGCACTGAAGCAAAGTTCACAGGTTCATGAGTAGACTCGACATCCTGGTTCTGTATTTATTGAAATTGAGAAGCATATCTTGTGCTTCTTACGAAAAGAAATTTGGTGATAATCAGGAGTCCTGTTTGCTCAAGCTAAGTTATGTTAGGTCTTGAGTTTTGACAGACATTCATGTATTTGATGCAGATGGTCATTTACATTGTAAATAGTAGATATTTTTGATGTACAATCGAGATTGCAATGAACAGTTTTCTCAAGTTGCTCTATTTTTTTAGATTTTGAAGGTTTCCTGTCTTTAGTCTGTATGATAAAGCATGTCCAAACCTTAAAATCCCATTGATGGCTCATCACAAAGTGTGTAAAATAGTTTATTAAATTCTTATTGATTTTGACTTATTATGAGAGTAACTAAACACAAAAAATGAAATTCAATTGACAATTACATAAAGAAAAAAAATTTAACGGTGCTTATTTAATGTTTTTTGTGTTAACCAACCATGTCATGTCTTCTCATATTTTATTTCACAGATCACGAATAAGGTTACCTTTAAATTATATAGAAACCTGAAAGTAATCAATATCCACTGAAATAAATCAATGATTCAGTATGTGGTAAAACCCTGGAGTCTGGCCGGCAAAATTTCACGTGACTGCGTATGGACAGTAACTATAGTCACAAAGGAAATGTGACATAAAATGCATAGACTATAATTTACAGAAAAATATACCACACACAGGAACGCTCCGTGGAACTTAGAGTTTCATACACGGACGACACTAAGTTTCCCATAAAATGTTATCATAGACGTCAGAAAGTGATCACGTGTCCCAAAAAGTGAAATTATTAAGCTGAGAAAATTCCGAAGCAATTACTGAGAAAACACTGAAATTTTTGAGACACGTCTCATGGGTTTGTGCTCTTGGAATCGAGTTTTGTCCATTATGTGGAACACTTTCCTATTAGTGGACAAACACACACACAGTACAGAAACACCTCCACTCATGACACATTCATGACATTGGCCTGACAGAATCCACGGATGATCTAGCCTATTGGAGACAGTTCCTCCGAGCACACACAGTACAGACACACCTCCACTCAGGACACATTCATGACATTGGCCTGACAGAATCCAAGGATGATCTAGCCTATTGGAGACAGTTCCTCCGAGCACACACAGTACAGACACACCTCCACTCAGGACACATTCATGACATTGGCCTGACAGAATCCAAGGATGATCTAGCCTATTGGAGACAGTTCCTCCGAGCAGTATTGGCCTCATTCTTTCAGTTTGCTCCATGCATGGCTTCAAGATCCATGATTGCAAAGAAAGTGCAAAGAAAAAAATCAACACCACGTTATACATGTATATACCTTCTGTGTTTCTCTCGTTATGGAAACGTACAGTCCTTGTTACTTGGACAACTAAAGGAATCGTTTTTCCTTCCTCCAGGCTCGGACTAACGTAAGACTGAACTGACCTGCAGGAGCTAGGCTTTGGATTTGAGAAGAGTGCCATATTTATTGACATCACTTATTTCCCTTTGCGGTGCCTTACAAGTCATCAGCAAGTGATAACAGAAAAAGTCAAATTTAGCAGTGAAATATTGAACCATTAAATTTCAGGCCTACATGTACTTAAAACAGAATTGTTCAATTAATGTACGTGAGGTTTTCGTCGCCAGGTCCCTAATTTTGCCACCTGTTGTCACAAGTTTCCTTGGTTTTCACACTTCAAAATCACAGTAAATGGTGAAATTAGGGGCCTGCCTGGTGACTATCTGTACCCTCACGCATGTTAGTCTCATTCGGTTTGTGTACAGGGTCAGAGAGTCAATCACGTCGAGTGATGTCTATGTTTGGTTCCCCTATGTTTCCCAGACCGGGTTTGGACACTGTCTAATATTGACAACTGGAAACCTGCAAAAATATTTCTAGAGGTAAACTTCAAGCCTAGTAGAAAGCAACCAACTTATCAAGTTACCCGTTGCTTCACCTGACATGCCTGACTCGGACCGGCCAGCTGACCCGGTACCCGGCAAGCTCAGTGGTCAAGACGTCTGCACTGTACTAGTAAGCAGGAGGCCTGAGGTTGTGGTTCAACCCAACCTGCCTGTCTTCAAAGGGTGCAGACCACTAATTCAAGTGAGAATTTTTGACCAAGTCATTAGCATTAAAAGTGCCCCCCACGGTATCTTTGGAAAAAGGAGATTGTTTGGCCCCCAAAATGGTGAGATTGTGCAAATCGTTGCCGGGATCAACTCCCTGGGTCTTTGAGCTTTCATATGAGAGCAGAAGGGCTAAAAACTACGTGAAAAATGGTCCTAAGTGCCCGATAAAGTTGAGGGTTGCCACTTGAAAAATGGCTGGAATCAGACATCGGAAAAATCCTTTTTGGGGGGTGATTTTGTTTTGTGGGAATAAATAAAAATGTAATTGGTTAACCCATAAAAAATTGAAAAGAAATCGAAAGATAAGTGACCAGACAAGAATTTCATTTGTGCTTCNTGTCAACATGCAAATTAACTGCGCGCGCTGCACGTCTAAGAGCTGCGGCGCCCTCAATTGTCTATCCAAGGTCGATATGATTACAAGAATTGATTACAAAATGGCGTTGCACGGTAAGCGATTGTATAATTTCCAAATCGTGTATTTCAGTGAATTTATCTTTCTACCTGCTTTAGTAGAAGGTGCAAAAGACATATTTAAGGAAGGACTATTGCATACTGCCTTTACTTTTTCATCTTACATCATTTTAATAAAGGCCAGTTCTTGCACAATCGCTGAAAAGACACGATCTGAGAATGTGAGATTGTGTCTAGTCTGTACAGTGGTAGTATGCATGGCACGGACTCTCACTCCCGATCCATCCTTCGGACTCTCGCTAACGTGGAGCGGGAGCGAGAGTGTGTGCCACACTAGTAATGGGGCTAATGTCTGACATGACATGTGCATGAACATGATGCATAACAATTGGACTTATTACACATGTATTATGCCTAGGCCTAAATAATGACTTGAACTGAGTGATACCTTTTATTTTAAGTAGGGCCGAGGCCTAGTAAAGTAGTGTCCAAGCAAACTCACCTGACTCGTGGCACTGGGGGATTGAATTTTTTCGGCAAAAATGTCTGAAATTATAAAAACGTCTTATTCCCTACCTTCATCATGTTCATGACCTTGTTAATATGAAGTTGCAATGACGATGGTGGAGTAGAACCAGATTAAGATTTGACTAAAGATTGGATAAGCCCTAGCCCCACTAGTGTGGCATGGATCACTCCCAATTTATCCTTACCCACACATCCGTATGCGCAATTTCGTGTCGGCATACTGAACATTTTTGGCACACCCACTTATAATCGTGGGTGCAATATCTTTTGCATACGAACATGATTCTTGACCTTTCCGTTTTTTAAATACCATTTATTGAATGATTTCACTCACGTTATTCAGGTATTTTCCAGTATTTTTTCCTTTATCCATTCAATCTAACGGGCTCACTCTCACAGTCGCCATCTTTAAAATAAGGTCATTGAGCATTACATCACTTGACCCCTCATCGTCTCAACAGCTGTTCCATGCCAAGACATCTAAACTGCTGCCAAAGTTTTGGAAGAGTCCATTGGTACATGTAGTAGCTTATCGCTCAGTCCGTTTATTACATGTCTTGACATGGAACAGCCGCTAAGACGACGAGGGGTCAAGTGACGTAATGCTCAATGACCTTATTTTAAAGATGGCGACTGTGAGAGTGAGCCCGTTAGATTGAATGGATAAAGGAAAAAAGACTGGAAAATACCTGAATAACGTGAGTGAAATCATTCAATAAATAGTAATTAGAAAACGGAAAGGTCAAGAATCATGT